CAACAACTACAACTACAAAACAACTACAGCTACAACTATATGACTGCAACAACACTACACTAATTACATTAAACCACAACTACAACTCCACTACGCTACAACTACAACTACAGTTGCAGTACATCACACTACATCCAGCAGTTTGTGGGTGAGGTGACCACTGCAACCATTGCAACCACTCCAGCAAACACAACTCCAACCACCTTTCGGTCAATCAGTGGATTCGCTCTGCCATCCGTGATTCACAACAACCAACGTCTCCTATAGGTTTCCTATTCTGAAACTTCCGCCACCGCCTTGTGCGGTACTACTGGTAGCTGTTTATAGATGATTATAGTGGATTAAGTGAATGTATCACACACACACATTGTAGACTACAGGTAGAATATTGTCATATGATTTCGGTTGATTATAACTTGCAGTAAATATGATGACCTGTCTTTTTGGAATCAATTAAGATTGCTTTTTCCCTTCCATAGTTGAAACATCGAGCCACCAACGTTTCAAAAACTATAGATCATCTATTGTCTATCGAAAACTCTATTATCTATCAAAAACTATAGATCAACCACTATTTTGAAGATATTTGAACCTTTCATCAGACTAAAACCATGGAGAAGTCGTGGGCCCTCGGGCAATGGTTGGCTCTATGATAGGCTGCTGCTGCGGGACGACCCACTCGCGCATTGGAGCTTCATGGCCGTGCCACTCGCGCCCAGTTCCTACGAGTCCTTGGGCGGAACGGGTGGGGGGAGATTTTATAGACGAATGATCTATATATAGATTGTATGTATTAATTATATTAATATATATTAACAATGTAGTACTATGATGATCTATGATGTATATAAACGAGATATGTGTATGTGTGTATGTATAATAGTATGATCTCTCTCTCTCTCTCTCTCTGTCTCTCTTTACATGTCTATGTCTATGTCTATGTCTATGTATATGTATATGTATATTGATAGAGATAGAGATAGAGATAGAGATATAGGATAATGATGATGTATGACATCGAACTTCCAGGAAAGTGGTCAAAAAGAAGACCTCACCCCCTGACCAGAGCGAGTTCACGCCTTGTACATTCGACCTGTGGTGTGCATGAGATTGGCACAGGAAAACTTCACTGGAAGTCATATCCCAAGTCAATGGGTTGTTCTGCCAAGAAAAACATAGAAAAACAATAGCAACATCGACAGAAAGGAACCTGATTGCTCCCGTTATCTACTCGATTTTTAGCTGCACCCCAGGTCTTGCGCAGACAAGTGGAGTACTACTTCTCCGAAACTTGGCCCATGACCAGTTTCCAGTGGAACCAGTTTCCAGCTGAACCGCGGCCGAGGACAAGAACCTGAAACGTGATTGGTTCTTCCAGGAAAAGATTGCTGGGGAACCGGAGAGTGGATGGCTTGAACTTCGCTGGATCATGCCGCGTGGCAATCATCGCTCAATCTTCGCTCAATATGGCCCGTATGGCAGATATGATGTGACATAAAAATCATCATTCGTCCATATTGTATCCATATTCCAGACATCCTTCATTATTCATCAAATTTGACATTTGATTCCAGTTTTTTCAGCCTTAGGTCTTGCCCACGTATCGCAGATGTGCACCGCGCCAGTGAAAAGGATGTGTTGGAGGCCTTGAAATCTTCAACTCTGAAGGCAGGACCCATCTTTAACCATCCTGGAGGATTTTGATCTGAATACCCTCTGGTAAAGATACAAAAAGCTATTGAAAATTGCCATAGAAATAGTGGATTTACCCATAAAACATGGTGATTTTCCATAGTTTTTTGTATGATTACCAGAGGGTAGCATGACTCATGTCACACATGTAGCCGAGTAAAGTTTGTGTCATTCCTCCCAGTGAGTAAATTGAACATTGACCGATATTTTGCTCAGTTTTTACCCCATTTTGCTGGCGAAAGGTGAAGGAAGTTGACGGCTGCCACTGGGTGGCACGTCCTCAGCCACTGCCAGCATTGGAAGTGAAGCGACCAGAGGTGTTGCATGAGAGCGTCGATGGAGAAGAGGATGCCATGGATGCCATGGATGCCATGGATGCCACCATTGAACTGTGTGAAGAGGAAAAGGAGATTGGAAATCCATTGAGATTCTGCTTCCAGATGTATCAAGAGGTTGCCTTGTTCATCCTTTTTCTTAGCGCTAGCTGTGGCTTTTGGCCTTGCACCTCCAAGAGTGGTGGCTGGACAGAATTTAGATCGATATCTATGTTGATGGAGCAATTACCAAGTCTATTCATGGTGGCACGTCAGTTGGACAACTCTTCGATTAGTTGCCAGCGGCCATAGTCGAAATGCCTGCGAGGACTACTCTGACACCATGACAAAGGGCGGAGAATCAGTTTTGGAGGAGGCTCGGTGACTATGCCAATTGCTAAATCCAATCACAGAGTGGCAGATGAGTCCGAAATCAGCACCACATGACAGACTGAGGCTAGGCGGAGAAAAAGCATCCTTTCCATATTTCCAAGCTGTTTAAAAACTGCTGCGTGCACACACTTGCATAGTTGCAGTTTCCAGGACAACGGAATCAGAGCGGAAGAAAACCCCAAGGACAGAGCTGCGAAGGAGTTGCAAGCCTCGCGCAGTGAGGTCCTTCCGGAATCAATTCCATCATCAGAAGCCATCAGAAGCCATCAGAAACCGTAGCATTTCAGGCTGCTCACGGCATGTCACCATCAGGAGGCCGACCTTTCTGTCCAAAGACTTCGGCAGGTATCGGGCTGTGATGGACGATGGAAGTCACGAAGTCACGAAGTCACGAATCGCAAAGTCACAGAAGTGCCACGCTTCGTGCGATTTCACGCCAGGATGATGGCGAGAGTGAGGGGTCACAAGAGGAAGAAGAGGAGGATTGGGATCATTGGGATGATTGGGATCTGTTGAATCCATTGAATATCAATAGAATATGCAGGGAAAAACAGCAATGAGCTGATGACATTTCCAGTTTCATTGATGTTCATGGAAGCGTCCGACCTGACAGGAAGTGCTGGCAGATCCCTACATGTGATGCGAAAAGAAAAGTGATCTTGTGGTTTTGTGGTCCGAAAGAGGAAGCAAAAGGAATCAAGAATCATGCACGAGAGTGCTGCACTCTAAAAGTACTAAGTACGTGTGTTGATCAGTTTTAGAAGTTCAATGATTAAGCAGTATCCTGGGAGAATACCATCAATCTTCATCAATCCTGCTGGCGAAGTCCGCTGTCGACAGGTGCTCCATTGTCGGACTACAACCATACCCCTTTTGATGATGGCATGGTTGCTGGACCGCTTGAGGAGCAGTTTGAGTTGATGGATGGAGAGGCACAGGAACCCCAAAATGCGCTGTGCATTTCTGTTGTGAAGAAACAACAATTTTCTTTAAAAACAGCATACCAGATATACCAGGCCAAGAACAGCCGGTGTTTCCGCTGCAAGACTTGCCAAGTGTGATCCTCGGTGTTTCCCCATGTCAGCCATAGATAGCCATAGTAGATTTGCCTTCACAATTGCTGCAGGGCCCATCCTGATATCAGGTCATGACGCATGCAGAGGTCACCGAGGTCAGGTCATTTGACAGCAGATTCGACGAGTCAAAGATATTCAAAGATGCCAAGATGTGACGAGTTGCATCATGAAACAACATCTTTTCCATCATGAAACATATTTTATTATGTACCAATATTGGTCATGATGGTGGTCATGATGGTTTTTTTTTGGTCATGAAACCACAATATTGGTGAAAGATACCAATCTACTATGATACCAATATGGGGGTTTCCTGAAATAGGGGTACCCCCAAATCATCTATGTTAGTAGGATTTTCCCTTATAAACCATCCATTTTGGGGTACCCCCATTTATGGAAACCCCAATCTGTAGCACCAATATTGTGGTCATGCGATTTGAACGTTCGTTGAACCTCCTCCAACCCCGGCAAGAGTCCAAGTCTCAAGCATGCAGTCTCCATGGGAAAGCGCTGGTCAGCAACAAGAATGCTGAAGGAAGGTTGTGTCAATAACTATAATACTATAATACTATAACACTATACTACTACTATAATACTACTATAATACTATAATACCATAATACTATAATACTATAATACTATAATACTAGAATACTATAATATTATAATGATTCTTTTCAGAGTTTGTCCCTCAGGTCTCTTGGAAAGTGCTATTACCCGCTGTCACTTGCGGTTTCATCCAATGCAAGCTAGAACTCTTTGCATAGAAATTCAGGCATATCATGGGCCATAGACGTGGTGCCGACACCAACAACGGCACAAGTTCTTTTTGTTCATAGCGAACAAGTTGCAGTCTCACCCACCATGAGCGGCAATGCAATGTGGAATGCTTAGTTCTGCTCAGCATTTCTTCCACTTCGGCGGGCGCGTTGGCAACCTTGCCAAAGTGCATAGAGATGCATAGAGTGGGTGTCATCCAGTTATTGGTTTTGATTTCCCTGATGTTTCGGCATGTTTTGGTTGCAGTCCTTTGGAATATGTTGGAATCCTTTTCACATATGGATCATATCAGTCAAAGTCAAAAGGCTGCCGGCAAGCGACAGCTACGATGAGGGCAAGAGGCTGGCTTCTGTTGGCGTTTCTGATCGTTTCTGACAATGCAAGCAGCACTGTGTTGCGGCAGTCGAGTGATGCGAGTGGGATGGAAACCATCTGGATGTTGTAACTCGTAGCGAATCAAAGTTGAAACGGAACCAGTTGAAGAACCAGTCCTGTGCCCTGCCAGTTCATGTGCCAGCTCAATAGCGAAAGCTTCTGCCAAGCTGATCGAATGCTTGACTTCAGCGTCACTCAGAGCAATGGCAATATCTATAGATATGTTTTTGTTTTTTTGTACATATGCTACATTATGATATTGTATGATATTCTGGAATCTGTGCCATCCAGTTGGATCAATTGAATCATCTTGGTCATCCCATTGATGCTGTGACCATTGTGGTGGCATCGGATTTTTTCTGGTCAACTCAGGACCACCAACTACCAGGTTGATGGTGATGCAGTGACTTGGTGTATCACTAGATCTGGGAAGATGAGCATGAGAATTAAACATATCAACAATTAAGATACATTTAATATATTTTTAAGATATCATTTGATGATTTATGGCGTTTGATCATTGCGCCTTGTGTTGCCAAGGCTTTGTTGCTGCTTGGCTGCAAAAAGAGGAACGTGTCGCCTGTGTTTCTGGTAGTTTCCCTTTCCTCCACTCCTTTTTGGACCGGGACCTGGACAAGTGCCCAAGGTTGTTGAAACATGTTAACCGCTGAAGCTCACTTAGTCATCTGAAGAAATGCGGCTGCTACTTCAACTTCAAGGAGGTTGGAAAGGAGCCACAAGCCACATGTGTAACAGGCCTCTTTTGACATTGCACCACAGTGCCCTCAAGTGCCGCCGTATCCAAGCAGCCGAAAGTAGCCCTGGTGGATCTTGTTGAGGACTGCACTTACACGCACGATTCCAAAGATTCGAGTTTCCTCTCCCACTACGCCTACACTCTCGGAAATCCCGGCGTGATTTTAACATATTTTAACTGTGGTGATCCATGAGACAAGGGTGTAACATGGTGTAACTGGGTAACTGGTCTGTTACCACTTTGGAAAACGATCACTTGAATCCACTTGATATCTTTCAAACATGTTTAAACTAGGCCCTAACGTAACTAGGCTGTGATGATTTGCAATGGAAATTCCGGATACAAATATTTCATGGCCCTGGATCATCCAGAGACATGTGGATCATGTGGCAATTGGATCATGCAGTCCCTTGCCTGGTGCGCATTGTGGCAGGCAACGAAACCAAAGCGTTTGAACCTCAGAGCTTTGATAACAGATGTTTCAATTTGATTCAATTTGAGCACTTGTCATCCGTGTTCTTCGTTGCATGTTTGGATGTAAAATGATGCACTGATGCACATCTTTTGACATTTCAGGTGTGCGGATCATTGGGAGGCTGCTATCTTAGTTTCAAGGAATTTAGTCATTGCCTTCAGTATGACTCTAGATATCTGATATATATATATATATTATATATATATGTGATATATATATATAATATAATATATATATATCATATATCTGATGATATCTGGAGATTCAGATCAGGAGATTCAGTCGGAAAAGGGATGGTTTCGGGTTGCCGACCACACCTTCGCTGAGGCTTGGCAGTCACAGCATGGCAAAGCACCCTTCAGAAGCTGGTGCAGCTGGCTGGTTTCCTCGAAATGATTGGAACCTTTGGAACTCGAAAATGGGATGGTTTCACATGGTTTCACATTTTTGACTATATAATTCTAGTTACATGATGTTACATGCTAATACATTCACATCTTAAGGACAACACACAGATGTTTGGTGATCACAATATGCTATCCAAGATATCCCTAACTTTCATATGAACCATTTGTAAAACAGGTCATTTCATTATATTTCATTATATTTCATTTATACCATTTTATACATATCATTTCTGCATATGAATCATATGAATTCATATGAATTCATATGTAAAACGCAGCAAGTTCTCCAAGTTCTCCAAGTTCGCTGCCGAGGTGGTCATCTTCTGAGGGATGCCTGGCACAAGTGCTCATCGCCGCTCGGCGCAAGGAGCATAGGGAAACCATATGAAATAATGGATACCCGGCCTGGTTATGACTAATATAGCCAAGGTATAGATGGCCCTAATCGAAATAGATGGTTTACCTGGTTTACCGAACTTAAAAATGGTGATTTTCCATGGCTATGTTAAATAACCAGAGGGTATATTGGAAGATGCGATGTGCATCTGCTATAGTTCCACAAGATGCTTTAAGACTTTAAGATGTTTCAAGATGAATGCCATAAAACTGAATTGTACCTTGAAGTCAGTGACCAAAGTTTCTGCTCAGGTTGTCTTGTTTCTAGCAGTCTTGGCGTGGTGCAGTTCTGCGCTCAAACGGCACAAGACCGATCCAAATCCAAGCTACATACCAGGCACGAAGGCCTGCCAGAGACTGGGTTTTGGATCGTGAAGATTCGAAACTCAGTCAGTACTCAGGTCAGGATTATCTACGTGGTCTCCTCAACAACTTTTATGATGAATTGGAGGATGAGGCTCGCGAGGTTGAAGCTGGCACCTTAGTTCAAGGCCCATGCTTTGGTGCCATGGTCGAGATTGGTCGAGCATGGCCTGCCACATGCTATGAGGCTTTGGCCCGCACAGCTGAGTCGAAGGTTGAGGAAGCAGAGCGCGAAGCAGAGCGCATGATGCAGACGATTGTGCGGCCTCCGATACGCCACGTGGGCCCTCAAGGCTCGGCAAGGAACGCCATGGAAAGAGAGCCCACAGAAGATGATGTCGATATTGAAGAGCCTGAGGAGCACCTTATTTGGGGGAGATGTCAATACTTCATGATGCGACATTGATTGTTGGAGAACAACTGCAATGAACTTCCCTTCAACTTAGATTAAATACATTTAAATACTTTTTATTGAATTATCAAATGTGCACAGTGCACAGCCTTGAAATGACTTTAAGCTGTTTGGGATTTGACATCATCAAGCACTTCACACAGTTCCCAGTGGTGATCATCAGGAGATCCCAGAGCCAAAGAGAAGCCTCCACAAATTTCAGGCCCCGATGTTTTCACGGCATAGGGCTGTACGTTACCTACAGATATTCCATGATATTCCCAAAGGACGGTCAATGATAGTTGAATAATGTTGAATACAGTTGGCTGGATGAGTTGAAAATGTTGAAATCAAATCAACAGAAATCAACCATATCAACATGTTGCAACCATTCATGCTATTAGTAGTCATGTTCATCATGTTCATTTTTTTGCAGCAGTGATTCATCTTGTTCGATTTTGAGGCTCCTCGTGATCTTGGCTTTGGTCCACATGTGCCCCTAATCAATCAGTGCCGATCTCAACATCTGCATCCGTAACACGGCTTTGGAGATCCGACGCAAGTCACATTTGGGTACGGGTTGAAACTATGGCTTGGGATGTTGACCCATCAATTAATGATATATATATATATATACAACATAATATATATATATATATACACAACATAATATATATATATACACAACATTATATATATATATATAATATCATATCATATTTGATGATATGTGTTGGTTTCATGTGCGGAGACGAGGTCCCTCTTCCCGCCCGGTACTGCTCCGCCGTGAGTGCGAAAGTGCCTGGTCGCGTTGGTGAGCCAGCGGTGAAGCCGTTGAGCTCTCAGGACAAAGTCTCCTGCGCCCAAAAAAAGGTGTCGTCGTCGGATTTTCGGAGTTTTGGAACTAGAACATTTTGCAACGAAAAAGGCCAGAAATCAAGATTTTCATCACTAGAAATCACTCGAAAATCATCATCAATCAGCTATTTCCACCACGATTTCATGGGTCGCAGGCTTCGGAGATCCGTAGGGTGTTGGTGAGCTATGACCTGCAGGCCATGATGCTTCCCGAAACTCATGGTTCAATGGTGTTGAGTTGTGTTTGTAATGCACAAAATCAATCAAAATGATACAAGATGACTAATCTTCATGAATCTCATGTCCTTTTGTACATATTTCTACCTGGACCAGCAATGTTTGCCTGATCTTGTAGCTTCTTATAGCCAAGATTTTGTGTTGATCCAGGCAACTGACATGGACGAAATTCCAACAGAGGCCACGGCGTGAGGGCGCGACGTAGAACAGGAAGGACTAAATGGTCTTCCGGGCCTTCATAGTTGTCACATATTTCTTGTTGAGGTAAGAGCTGAAAGGTCCTGAAAGGTGCCCCAATGGAGTATTTACATTTTGAAGACTGTAAGTGGAAGTGAATTCCGCTGGTTTATGTCTGAGTTTTGAGGCCAGTGAACAGAGTGAACAGAGCATCGCTCCCTGCCTATGCCCCAGGTTGTTGGCAGACACCATGGCAGACAATTTTGAGTGCCAACTCGAAATCGGAGTTCCGTTTTACCCATTTGAGTGACTTTGTTCCAAGGCCCCTCCAATCTGTGTAGGCCCTTATTCCAGCTGAGACAGCAGCGAGCATTTGCCAGATCTCAAACATCGCATTTGTGCTTTGGATATATTTGGACAGCTTCTTCCGTTGTTTGAAACATGGTTTTGCTGTTTTTTCTTGTTTTTTCAAAACATGAAGGATCTTAGCATCAACCCGCCACGTTCTACTTGCAGGCCACCTTTGCGACTGTCAAATGTGACACTCGCTGAGGCGCTACCATGAAAAATGTGTTGGGTAAACCATCGGCATATGGTTGCAGTACAGGACCACCATGGACCACCAATCCATGAATCATTCCGCCATCTCGTTTCATTTGATGATCTTTGTATCATTTTGTATCTTTACATCGCACTGCTCCGCACTGCTCTCTGTTTTTGCCAGGTGCTCATTCCGTATCCAACGATGTTTTCACACTTAAACTAAAAAAAAACACATTTTATGGCATTTTAAACAATGTG